CACTGAATATTGGCACACATCTTGCTTCTGTGATCAATAAAACACTGCCCCTGGCATGGTTTGTCTTGTGTTTTGCCAAGCAGCAAAGGTTCTCTACTAAAGCGTTCAGAGGCATTCAGCACAGAATAGTGAAGGAAATTGTGAATTTTCCCCCATAAGTCTCAGAGAAAAAAACAGCAGGTTATAGATAGAGAATGCATGCTTATACCCTTTCAGTCATCCGGAAATTCAGCCCAGGCTGAACCATGGGGACATGCTGTACAGGTCAGCCAAGGGGTCCATCTGTCCATCATATCCCTGGGCTTCTAGGCAACTGAAGGGAGTGAAGCCTGCATTCTCTATATCTAATGCAGATTCCCCCTTCTTTCATGGTTGTGTATATTTATTACCTCTGAATTCCTTAGTGGACAAGAGCCTTTGTGACTTGGTAAGACAGTCTGTGGCCTACACAAGATGCACCAGGGCTGCTTGACAACCTTCAGAGGTAACCTGGCTTTGGATGTGGGCTGGGAGGTAGGACTGGATGAAAAGGGGAAGCACTTTGGGGAACAGTGACTTGATTCTAAGAGGAATCATTACTTATGCTTATGCCCAGGTTAAAGAAGAAGGTGCCATTGTGAGGTTTTTTTTGGCATAGTAAGGCTTTTATGCAAGGAGGACGACTTGTGTTCGTGTACTGTCTTTACTGGATAAGTGAGTGTATGGGCAAACAATTTCCATGACCATGAAACATCTCTTCACACTCATGCACAATAATATAGTAGTAAGGTGCATGTGCAGTGGTAGCAAGTTGTTGCTCTGAGGAAAAAATCCCACCCCTTAATAGTAGTGGGATTAGTAGTATAAATCTAGCACTCCATATAGATCAGCCGTTGCTATCATAGCTATTGGTAAGGCTTCGTGGGAACTGTCAACTAAAACATCTGGAGAGATCCAAGTTGCCCACCCTTGCTATAGATTCATTGTGATGTCATTTCATTGTCTGTGTTCTGTTGCTAATCAAAAGGCATATCTTATTCTAGGGTTAGAATGTATAAATGTTTATCATATGTTTCCGCCAGCATTGTTGTATTTCATTAGGTTGTGGTTCTCACTTCCCATATTTTAGGCTGCAGCTTAACAGTGAAATAGCATCTTTCCAACTTAATTTTTGTAGGATTCCAGTTTCATTCTTAGTGCTGAGAATAACATTCTTTAATATCTTGGCAGTTCCACTGAAAGCCCTGGAAAGTGAAACTGACACTCATTTTTCCCCAGCTTGAATTTGGCTTTGCTCTCTGCTGTATACATGCATTGCTTTTAACCTGATCGTTTTCCAACTATGTGGGGCATGCTTGGGAAACCATAAAACAGAAATATTTTTGCATCCTGTAGGAGTTAATAAGAAGTTTCTCAAAAGAGTAAATCAAATTCCCTTTTCCTTCCCACCAGTGGTTACAACAAGAGCTACCCAAAATGTTGGTGAACTCTTACCATTATCCTTTCTCCCATATTTATTTGAAAAGAAGCGGTACAATAGCACACAACTTCCCTAAATCTCAAAGATTTTGTCCATTGATAGAAATGTTGAAAGTTTTAGCAACAAAATAGACATTTGGATGTGCCATAAAGAATTGTTATTTTTCCCTTTAACAAAGGTAACTCTTGCATGTACAAATGCAGAATGTTAAGAAGAATTTAAGGTGTAACAGGAAAACTTTGAAAGCTGTAGATTACAAGTGAATCAGACATAGGTCAATCTTTAGCATTCACCATTGGGAAAAGTAGGAAAGGGGAATGGTAGCAATATTGCTAGTTTGACTTAAGCCTTAGCTTAGCTGAGCTAATGCAAATTGCATCCCAGGATTCACAGTAGCTGGATTGCTGCTAGTTAGGCACATTGCTCCTTCCCATTCTCATACCCAGTTACCGGGAAATGTCGTCTGCTCCTCATGCCAGTCAGGCACTGAAATGGTGTGCATGTCATGCACTGAAATTCACTGCTACCTGCCTCAGCCGCTTCCCTGCTTGGAGGCTAATGACAGTGAGAAGCTGCATAGTTGCTCTGTCAGCATGGCTTAAGGAGATGCAACCTGGCAAGCTCATTTTATAGTTTCAGAGACTATAGGTAGCATGAACATTCACAAGGAATTCTCCTTTTGTCTGCTTCTTTCTGTTAATGTGTGCAGGAATTTGTGTACCAAGCATTTGATGCTCCTACCCATGCCTTGTTCACCTTGAATAGATTGGTCTTATAGAATGGGTGCTGGGAACATAACGGGGCTTGTTGAGATTGCTGCCTGTTCTGTAGCCCAAGTATATGGCTACCCACCCAGCCTCAAGGGTAGGTGTGAATGGATAAATGTTAATCAAATGTTTAAGGTGCTTTGATGGATAGCCAAGAAAGATGAGGTGCAATAGTAGATAGGGAATAATATTATTGTTAAAAATTTCAAACTGCGGAGCATTAATACTGAGGTGATGCTTGGCTGCTTCCTGTTTCAAAGCTAACAGTTATGCACTATAAAGTGTAGCCAGAATCCATTGTGAGAAAATCAAAGTTACATCAAAGGTTTCCATACCACAACCTTAGTCTATGTAAACTATATTTTGAACAAAGAGAAATAAGAAAGCAAGGCTGGGATCTAAAGAAGTCTGTTTAGGTGGAGAGGTTTGGTTCTTGTTACCTAAAGCAGTGGCTCCTGCCATTCCATTAAACATTGCTGTAGATAATCCTGCCTGTTGGAAGTGGCTTGCAGGAGAACAGTAAGTGGTGCACCACCTTTGTGGGACCTTGCCCCGGTCCTGGTAGTGATCACACCTAAGGTTGAAAATAGCTTGGGATTCCTGAAAAACTGCCATACTCTTACAAGGTGACTAACATCTGAAATTGTTCATTTTAAGCATCCAACTTGGACCATCTGTGGTTACTAAAGATAGTGACTTGCTTCGGGATGTAGGTCCAGTCAACTGTTTTAGCTCACCGGCCCAATCTTATGGCCACTAGACAATGTCTAGACAGCTATGGGAGTTTTTGAAGTTCAAGCTACAATGTCAGAAAATCACCACAACCTAGTAGCTGCATATCCATGCTTGAAACACCCTCCTCACTTTGCAGTTGCAAGAAACTGTGTTGACTGTATCTCCCAGGCTGAAAGAGGCACCTCAGAGATGGAGTTTCAAGGGCAGGGAAAGAAGGGAACACAAAGTGGTGTCTTGACTGGCTTTCATCTTGCTTTGAAGCTATACAGAAGAAATTGGGGAGCTAGCTGAGGTACAGAAGGCAAGCTTTGCCTACATTCTCCTCCTTCCTTCCAAAAGATGCTGCTAATCTTCAGTGAACTTATTGCTTGCCATGATTTAATATTAGTCTGTCTAGAGGGCTGTGAAGATGTATCAACTTAGCACATTGAGTGTTACTTGGCTGACCCCACATATGATCTATCCAAGTGTTTGTCAAGTTACAATTAACTACGCATTCACCTCATACGAGGTGGCGGCTGAGGCCTTGTTCTGTGGCCCTTTTGCCACTTGGAGCCCCCCTGTGCCCCCACAGTCCAGGTCCCTGCAGTGGCAGGGGCATGCATGTGGTGAGCTCTTGTGAGGCTGCCAGCCCTACTTGCTCTCTTCCTGAGGCAGCCCTATGACAGCTTGCCCCAGCATGCTCTGCCTTTGCACTCATCCACAGGAGCGGGTGGGGCATGCTGGAGAGAATCAAGCACAAGAGGCTCAGCACACCACTCCAGTTAGGAAGGAGGGGCCATGGGGTTCACGTGGGAGGTTTTCTGGGTGGACAAACAAGAAAGAAAGGGATGGACCTCCCCAAAGGAGTGGTCATTGTGCTTGGGCTGTGCCTGGAGAAGGAGCTGCCCGTGATCTGTGAAGGCAAAAGCATTCTTTTTCATTCAGTTAGTCCTAAAATTCTCCCTCGTTGATTGGTTAATTAAATGTATTAATTGTGTATATTAAATTAAATATATTGTGAACACTTTACAATATGGGAATGCAATTCAATGTATGGTCCCTGGGTTCTGTGTCGAAGTCCTCATGTGGTCCTTGAGGTATGAAAAGTTGGACTACTCTGGTCTAGGAAATAAATTTGACAATTTTATAATTCAACCTAGTTTGGGAGTGTTTCTATATAGCTGGGATGTAAATGATGTTTACATATATATTCTATCTATTAGCAAAGGGGATTTCTGATATTTAGGGTAGAATATTCAGAGTTGTAAACATCACTACTGTTGTGTGAATGCATAGTTCTGGAAGTCTGGAAACTTGTGTCTCAACACTGGACTTTGCAATGCTGGATAGGAATCACCTTATGCCAAGCCCAAATTTTGGGGCATGTTATGTGTTGTAAGTAAATAATGTTGTACACAGTATCCTACCAAAGTTGTTCAATTCCTAATGCTTTAACACACAATAGCATCTAAAACATTATTTTGTATTTTAAATATATCACCAAAGGATGGGAGTTGATGGTTCTCTCCTTCGCTTCCTTCTCACAAACCCACCATGAATCATAAAATCAGTTTTGCCCTATATGTTTACCTAAGTGGCATGGCGAAGTATTTCATTTTGCAGCTGTTTGCTATCATTCGGGTATGCTAGTCTGTGTTTTCTTACGGGGCTTTGTTGGATTAGACAGGCAGATTTAGAGAGGGGAATGCTAAAGGTAATAAGGTAAGAACTTGGCCAAACCAATATAAAGAATTGCAAGTGAAAATGGATACAGTCTTGTGCATACCTGATGATGGAGGGGAAAGCTTTTTGTGAAATGTGACAGCCCTGACTAGACTATATGGGTGGAAGGGCAAAAGTTGTGGAATGTCTGTGTCTTTTATGAAAAGAAGGAAATTGCTGTCTGTGCTCTGAACACAGTAGGCTTGATATATCCAGCTGACAGTCTGGCTAGTGAATATTGTTGTACAAAGGCTATGAAGCCAACAATTGACTGTTCTTCCTTTTTAAAGTAACTTGGCACTAATCATATAACTTTTTTTTTTTTTTTTTGATAGGCATGCGTACATGGGTTACAACTTGACTACTTTTTAACTGGCAGCTCTCTGCTTTATTTCAGTGTGTTTTCTGAAAACATTGGCTCTCAAAGGGTCCAGAAAGGAGATGTAAATCCACTCAACACATGCCGAGTTGCTGGCTCAGCTTGAAAGCGTTTTCATGAGTTAACACTAGGCCCAGATCCACCCTTCAGTCCCTGCAGCCAAGCAATCTGCCGCTGAGAAATGGGCCAAAAAATCTCAGGGAGCATAAAGTCTGTCGATGTGCGGGAGCCCCCTTACAGACCCGTCAAGCGAGAACTGAGAGGGCCAGATTTCTGCAAGCCTGCACGACTAGATATGTTGCTGGATATGCCCCCGGCCCAGTTGGAGGTCCAGTACAAAAACGCTTGGAACAATGAAGATCGATCCTTAAATATATTTGTGAAGGAAGATGACAAGCTAACCTTTCATAGACATCCCGTTGCCCAAAGTACAGACTGTATCCGGGGCAAAGTTGGCTATACAAGGGGCCTGCATGTTTGGCAGATTCACTGGCCCACCAGGCAGCGAGGAACACACGCCGTGGTTGGAGTGTCAACAGCAGAAGCTCCTTTGCATTCTGTTGGATATACATCGTTGGTTGGTAGCAATACTGAATCATGGGGCTGGGACCTTGGACGTAACAAACTTTATCATAACTGTAAAAATCAACCCGGACTGACATATCCTGTGTTTTTGGAACCAGATGAGGCTTTTGTACTCCCAGACTCCTTACTGGTGGTTTTGGATATGGATGAAGGGACGCTTAGCTTCATCGTGGATGGACAGTACCTTGGAGTGGCCTTCAGGGGACTAAAAGGGAAAAAACTCTATCCTATAGTCAGTGCAGTATGGGGGCACTGTGAAATTACAATGAGATACATCAACGGACTTGATCGTAAGTGTTTAATCACATTTTTTAAATTGGAAAGGTGGATTATATTTCTAACTTGGTCGCCTTAGCATTTCCTCCATCCTAAATGGACTATTGGGAAGGAAATGTGTGTGTTCTATGCCCACAAGATGATGGCTGAAATGTGTAGCTGTAGTAAAATTACACAAACTGGCTCAAATGGCTACTTTCCTAAACTGAATGTAGTATCCTGAACTATAAATATTTTCTCCAATATTCTGAGGTGTTTTTTCCGGAATTTTTTTCTGTACTAATATAAAGGTACAAAGTGGAAGGCATGTGGAGTTCTCATTTCTGATTTAAATATTGTTTTTCATTCATTTGTGTTTTGCACTGCCCTGCAGTATTAGAAATCTTCAAAAATTTTAAAAGGTTTAAAGTTCTAACTAGAAATCTTAAAAGTGAAAGTTCTAACCACAAATATAAATGTGTTTGAAATAAAAATGTTTGCAAAACAGACCTTGTTGAATTATAGGAGATAATGCTTTGCAAAATGTTGGTGCTTTAGACATCAGGCTTGAGAGCTTTTTTTTTGGGTGGGGGGAGTGTATAGGAAGCTTCTGTTGAGCCTTCCCAGTGTATTTATTTGTGGTTAAACATGAGTTGTGAGTATCTTGGACAATAACGTTTCTTTATGTAGCACCATACTCAGGGATGGTACTTTATACAGTTAAATATAAATCTACATCCAGAAGTAGTTGTGCTACAGCAGAGAGGACCAGTCTCTTTCCAGAGAAGAATCTTTAATCTCCTTTGTTTAGCCTCACTTAGGAGTTGTGATACTTCCCATCCCTGTGTTTTGCTAAACATTATTTGTTTAAGAAACACCAAAGAAATAGTGTGTACCTGCACTTCAGGCAGACTCACAGAATATGCTTTGCTTGGTTGCCTTTAAGGATGTGCTGGAACTTTACCTGATGTAATTATTGAGGCTACACATTTCTATGTGTTGGAGTGGTGGGAGGAAGACAGGATGACCTAGATTTGTGAAGCTGTTGATTCCACTAATGAATTTGAAATTCAGTGGTAGTAATGTGCACACAGGAAGGCTTTTTCACACCCACATGTACTTGGGTGTGCATGCAGAGAGAGAGAATGAGAGAGATTGTGCTTTACTCTATTTTGGCAGAGTGGTGTAAGGCTTGTCCATAGGATATGACAGCCACATGGATAAGCGGCACATAATATTGCCGCATAGACAGAACTCTTTAGAATATATAATTTTAAACTCTGGGCAGAATGGAAAAGTGAGTGGGTAAATAGATCTTAAAGGTCTTAGTGCCAGTAGCTAAACCTTAGGAAAGACATTTCAACCTTCTGAAATGTGGGGGAGGGTAACTGTGCAAATTCCAAGAGAGCACCAAATGGTCAGTGCTTTGGGCAAAAGGGGGAGGGCAGGCGAAAAGGAAGGAGGCATGACCATCTGGAGAACCTCAGAGGGCTAGATTTGGCACTGGACCAGAGATTCTGTACCTCTGCTTTATAGGATTTGCCACTCTCACAAGTGACTTAGCAGACTTCTGCCAATTTTGTATAGAGAGGCCATTCCACTTTGCATGTACAGAGTGAGTTCTAGTTCTGTGCCACTATCCTGGACTAAACTCTTCTCGGAATCATATTTGTATTAATAAGTTTTTAGTGTAATCTCATTTTATCCTCTGATGGGGTGATCGGCCTCAAACAACACTACTGAGCAAAGTAGGTACAGTTTTAAATTGTTTATGCCTCTGGCTACTTCCTTCCTAGCTCTGTTCTCTTTCATTTTAATCTTTCATCAGATATCTAAATCCTTCTCCTTATGACTTATTTTATTTTATGTGTTAGCTGTTAGAAAAATCATGACAGCTTGGGCCTTTTACTCCTTCTCCCTTAATAACTACATTTTAAAATGGCCCCTTCACATCAGGAGTTTTTATCAACTGAACCTTTGCCAGCACGCTGTAGCTATAACCTTAAATGAAAATTCTAACATATTAAAAGAAAGATGAAAGGACCAGACTTTTATAGAAATTGGGTCTAAGTTGGAAAGAATTCTCTGTTTTGGCTTATGTGCAAAAATTTCTTGTATTTCTTTGGAAAGCTCACAAAAGCTGGCTGAATAAAAACTGAACTATAAACAAACGGAAATCACCCTGAGTACTGTTGGGTTCAGAGACAATAGAGTATGGGCAACTTTACAGGCAAAACGTGGTTTCCCTCCCCATTTTTTGTCAATGGACAAAATGCTTTTCCTTTGAAAACTGTCACAAGTATATTACGTAACAACAGGGTTACTGTCATATTTTCTGTGGTTGTTTATTTAAAAAAGGAAAAAGACTTTAAGAAACAGATAATTTGTCTTAGATTTTAAAACATCAGCCTCTATTCAGAAGGCAATCAAAATGGCGATTTGCTACAGTATTACTTACTGCCTGTGCAATACAGTGTATTTTTGTTTTACAGCTATTTTCCTCCTTTCCCAGGAGTCTGATCAAATTGCTAGAGCAGCCAGTTTGTTTACCTGGCCAGCCCTGCACCCATCTTGAGTTACTCTGCACTAGCCATGATGTGTGGAATTCACATAAGTTGGGGAATGAAGCCATAGATGCAATTGCTAAAGCAGAGGTTTTGAACCTAAGGCTCATGGACAAAATCCAGCTTGCCAGGTACCCTGGTGTAGTTGTCTGGGTTCTCTAGTTACTATGCCCCCTTCTTCTGGCTCTGCCATGTTTAACCTGGCCATCAAGAGCTTTTGTACAGTTCTCTTCCTCTCATTCTAAAATATTGAAATGCCACTCCTGGGGATTAGTTCCTGGCTGTAACTGTCCCCCTTGCACTGGTTGTTGGTCCTCCTACCAGTGAAATGCAGCCCTGGCACCTTTTCTTGAATTGAATTTAGCTCCGTGGGTTGACAATGCCTGCATCCAAGTCTGATACCCAAGCTTGGAGGGAAAGTTGTGGTTCAGAAATGGCTACCTTCTTGTAAATGTGCAATCAAGAATAAAATTGTTTACTAAATTACTTGGGTAATGATTTAGTTAGTAGAGCCACACGGTCATCCTTTGCATTCATTTAATTATGCGAAGCAAGGGATTAACTGCCTCAGTGCTTGATCAACCTTAATTCTCCATGTTTTAAAAAGCTGAAAAACTGGTGGCAAGAGGAAGGATTGTCAGCAAGGAATTGGTATAGGCCAGGGGTTCTCAAACTTTCTAAACAGGGGGGCAGTTCACTGTCCCTTAGACTGTTGGAGGGGTCAGACTATAGTTTGAAAAAAAAAATGAACAAATTCCTATGCACAGTGCACGTATCTTATTTGTAATGCAAAAAACAGGAAAAAATAATACAATATTTAAAATGAAGAACAGTTTAGATCAACATAAACTTCTTATTATTTTAATGGGAAGTATGGGCCTGCTTTTGGCTAATGAGATGGCCAATGCCCCGTTCCATATTCGCTCCTCTCTTCTGTATTCTCACTCCTCTCTTCTGTATTCAGAGACAACACATGCGTGCAGTAGGGGGAAGAGCTGGCACGTGCGCAATTCATGCTGGCAAGACCAGCACAGCAGCAGGAGCTAGCCAGACCTAGCAGAGAGAGCTGGCACATGCGCAGTTGAAGGGAGCTGTCACGATTTGGCACATGTGCCATCTCTCTGCTTAGTCTGTGAAACTGAAAGAGTTTCAGAGTATGCCTGCGCTGGCTCAGAGCTTTCGGACTCGTTTGGAGATCATTTTCTCTGAACGAGTCTGAAAGCATTGAGGTGGGCTGGGTAAATGACCTTGGCAGGCCGTATCTGGCCCGTGGGCCGTAGTTTGAGGACCCCTGGTATAGGCTGTCAGGCACCAGTGGAAACAAATGATAAACCAGTTATACAGATTATGCACTGAAATAGATCATACTAGCATCTTTCTTTTGCATTCAGAGGCTCCTGAAGTTCAGGAAAAAACAAGAATGGAAATACATTTAGAGTGTCCTACATCACCACAAATAGTTAATAATGTTTTAACTTTACATTAAAAAACAAGTGATGGGCCATGATTTTAACTCAAGAACATTTGGTTGGACTTCTCAAAAGTGAGCTAAAGAACTGCATATAGCAGCAGTGGCTCTGCAGGCTTCTAAATGAATAGGGTAGTGGTAGTTGTGGTAATCAGAAGTCTTGCTGGATAATACTAAGCTTGATGCTGAGAACTTACTCAGACACAGAAAGTGCAGTCATATGCATGCTGGCTGGGGACTGTTGGGAGCTGAATACTTTTTTCTGTTGATGCATAGAATCAAGCCCTTAGCAGTCTTGTGTGTATGTGTGGTGTGGTTTTGGGGGACACACATTAATGTGCCTCCCACTTTTAATGCAATTTCTATCTCTAAGCCAGAAGTAACAGCTGTTCCAAGAACAAAGGCAGACGGCAGTGTATCTGCTGGTGTTCCAGTCAGCCCAGAAAATACGTACAGCTATGACAGTGTGCAGGACTGCTTTAATTAGCATTGATATATTGTCATTATATGGCTTTTTTACTTGGCAGGTAGGTTGCATCCCATTCTGTTACATGGCCTGTCAGTTGGGCTATTCATGGAAAGTCACTGCCACAGATAAAATGTGTAGTGTGACAGTCAAGTTGATACATCCCACTTCTGCATCAGAGAGGTCCCTTGCTTTAGCCCTCTTGACACAATTGCCTTCTTCACAGTGGCTTAGTATGAGCTGTGTATATTTTATCATGCTTGGGAAAGAATATTACTAATCACCTCTTATTAATGGAGTGGGTAGAAAAGGAGTTATTTTTCCTCCTTGGAGGTAAGTTCAAGGAATAGCATATGCAGAAGTTTGCACAGGTTCACGTTGTTGCCAAAGCAGATAATCTGAATACGGCATTTGCCTCTCGGTAGTTGCTTTGCACCAACCATTTTTCCCTCTCTGAAGCCAATATTAAGGTCTCCTCCCCTGTGCTTGAGCATGTGTTATTCAGCTATATCTCTTAGCAACACTGCGGTAATATGT